ATTTCTTGATAATCTTGTGGTGTTGAAATATATTTACTATGAATGAAGCAGGTTATAATCTATTGAATATTATCGCTAAGAGGTTATCATGATTGTAGTGCTCTGATCGAACACTGGAATGCCATTGTGTTTATCTTAACACGTGTGTAGTTGCCTTTAAATATCGGTCGTAAGAGAGCCGAGATGGAGGTTATGCGAAGCTGTGCGCCATCTGTAGCGGGAACAACTTGTAGTTGGAGGGATTGAGAAGCCAATGTGGCGTTTATAGCTGGTCTTGTTCAAGAGTATGTCCGGGAAGCTTCCGTAGTTGGACTTTAATCCGTCCGTCTTCTACATAAGCCGAGAAATCAAGAATGAGTACTAGCTGTAAGGACTTACTTGCAGTGTATCGTGATTTTCCAGTCTCTCTTCGATGGCTTGTTATTACGTTCCCTTGCAATGTTGCAACCCTTCAGTTCTTCCTTGTCTCCAAGTGAGACCACAAGTGGTCAGGTCCCACGCAATCCAGTCTTGATGAGATCAATTCAACTGTACACTAATTCACAATAGTGGAAAGAACTTATTATTAAAACTCAGCTAGCTAAACGACTCATCTCTCCGGTCCTCCTCCGTGAGAGTAGGTCGTGACTTATCCTTCAGTGTAAGAAGTATTTGGAAAGAGTAAGTGAGGGTACATTACGTAGTCCCTTCTTAAATGATTCACTGATCCCGCTCCACTTGGGATCCCTTCTTCCTTTATTAATTAACCAATCAGTGGTTGATCTTGGGTCGCACAATAGATTATGCACGCCTTCATTTCCACTTCCTTCCGGGCTCAGTTCCGAATTTGCTAATCGGGAAAGTGTCGGAAGATGGCGAGCCTTTTCCATTGGTTGCCTCATCCTTCTCTGGGACTTGGCTAGAAGAAGGGTCCGCTTGGGCGTGGTCAATTTTCCAATACGATCGACCAGATGTGGCATAGCCAAGAACAATGCAAGCATTGTCTTAAAGGCCGAGTGCGCACGTATGGTCATTGCATGTGTAGTACGTACGGGTTTTGGGTTGCAGTAAATATTTGTACTCAATGCTTCACGCATATCTGATATTCGTTCTGAATCTACTTTGGGGTTCTCGCGGCAGTAAACCCATTAGGTTCTACTGCACTGGGAGTATGAGCACGTTCCGCTAGGGTTTTCCAGATGTTTTATGACACTAGTACAAATAATTATGAGCAGGAAAGTTTTGAAGTCTTAAATACAATTTTCATGACATTACTTGTCAGATATTTTATTGCCTTACTAAACGGAGTCTCTTATTCTCAAACAGTCTTCTTTTTAAGGGCATTCTCTCGGCCTCGTGGTGGTTGGTGAGAATTCCCTCCTTTTTGGCGTCTCCAATCAGATTTCTCCTTCTTAGTGTATCCAATCACAAGTCTCCTTTATTTTATGGTATCTCCAGTCAGAGAGCTTCTTAAGTGGTGGGGTCTCCCACCAGTATGTCTTTTCATGGTGGAGGCTCCAATGAGAGCGGGTCTTACTCGAATTCCCTTCATGATGGGGACTTGTTGACGCGTTCTTCCCTCTCCATTCTAGTAGCGTCGCATGTAAATCTCATGATCAAGCGCGCTATATACCCTTACTATTGTAAAAGTTAGGTGTAGCGTGGTTTTTGAATGAAGCATCTGGCATGTGTCATCCGGCTATCTTTGTGACTTGTTTACGCCAGATGTGTTTCTGAGTTGTTTTTCGCTAGATACTCAAGGGTTTATATTTTCCGGAACTCTTAATGGCATGTTCTCGTCAGATGTGTTTATGAGTTGTTTTTCGCTAGATACTCAAGGGTTTGTATTTTCCGCAACTCTTAATGGTTAGTTTTCCAGGTGTCTAATGACTTGGAAGTATTCTTACAATTTCAAACAAATAGAATACAACTAAGAAATAAAAAAAATTTTCACAAGATAACCATATCTTTCAACGTATTTTCTATTATACAAATAATTATTTGATACATAATCCTAAATTGATTCTTGCTCTAACATTAACCTTTATTATGATATTGTAGAAAATGTGGATTGAAATATCAGTGATTTCAATTTAAATTTACAAATTCAAACATCAGTTAATTGCAATGATGTATAATGTATAGTATATATTTTAATGGCTGCTTATCCTTCTATATATCCAATGAATCCCTAGATTTCTTTGAAACTATACGTACATGTTAACAATATTGTATTATATGTACACCATTTCTTACTTATTAATTTATAATATAATTTTTTTTAATAAGATTTTTAATAATATTTTTAATAATTCTAGTCTTTGAAAGGCGATATTTATTGATTTTTCTACTTGAGATCGCATTTTAAACAATATTTTTAGGTTTGATAATTTTTAATTGAATAATCAGCATTGTAATTATTTTAAACACGGTAGCAATAAACATATTTTTGTTGTGCCGCCGTCTTTTATTCTGTGAAAAGTCTGTAAGCAATATATTACAATGAAGTACCAAAAGTAAGTAAACAGTTGTAATGGAAAATTATTTAATATGCTTTAACGTAATAAAATATCTGTACGTTCCACGTAAAATTGTTTATTTACTTATTTACTTTCTATTCTATTCCATTAAATTTTCTTTATATTTGTACTAGATACAAAAGTGTACGACAAAAATACATATATAAATACAATTATAAATAGAATATGCTCAAACATACATCATGTTTGTAATAACTTTCAAAAGAATAAAACTTATTGTATAAACGAAAATATAAAATACAATACAATGTAAGAATAAAACTATTAAATATAAAATTTAATAAATCGGATAAAATAATTTGTTGAATATACTTATTATAATTCTAATATATAAACAGAAGCCACTTCAATATGCAGTAATTTAAAATGATTAATATAAACAATATTGCATATAAACTCAGCATATTTTTACGTACAGTTGCTGCAGATTGAATCGATTTACATACAAATATCATACTTTCAGGATTGAAGCAATTTCTAAGACTGCTGGCTCTCGGAATTGCTGGTCTCTCTAGCTCTCAAATTTCCGTAAATATTTGGGTCCGAGAATTTTCAAATATTTGTTATGTTTTCGTTTCAAATGCCCTACAATGTTTATATGGTCTTTACATAGTAGCGTCGTTTGGAATTTGCCAAATTGCTAAAGCCTTGGTTTTCTTGGAGTTTTCGAAGTTTCTAGAGTTTTAGTTTTGCGCTTCATGTAAGATTCCAGTATAGCAACAAGGATGCTTTGTTACCAACTAAGTAAACTGCCGTGCGGATATTTAAGGGCAGTACACTATGCCTAGACACTCATTGTGAATCATTCAGTCAAACAGTTATCAGTCAATTACTATGCTATTCAGCCAGGGCTTTCTGCCATACACCAGTCATTCAGATACACTAACGCAATGAGGCCATCCCAAGGAAGACACGTTAATCATCAAGCGCGCTACAACTTACAAGCAGTCAAGGGTACTGACTGCATTATGAGAAACTATACGGCTACAAGAAACATAGTCTCAAGGTATTTCTTTACAATTATTTAGGCCACACATCCTATATAGGAGTGTACGCATATTACTTCTAATCTTTACAACATTAGCAAAAGCCACTTTTCATTTATACACTTTCACAAGCTACAAGCCATTTTCACTGAATAGACTTTCAGGCTACACTCCACATTTTCACTCTATACGCTTTCACAGGCTACAAACCATTTTCACTATATACACTCTACAACTCTTCTACTTGACTCTCACCAAAACATCAGCTAGGGCGGGCGGTAAATTATAAAGCTATCGAAACATTGATAGTTCGAGCTAAGTAATCGTACCAGTTTCGAACACATACAAATATTAAAATTTATTTATTGAAAATTTATATTTAAAAAAAGTATTTTTATCTATTAAAATATTAAGTTTCATTCGGATGACTCTTTAAAAGGAAAGTAAATAACGTCTTACAATTAAACAAAATATGTAATTAATATTACTAGAAGATAATAATATATATTTTAATACGGAAATTTTAAATTCCTTTTTGAAAGTCATTAATAATCAAACAAAATACACAATAATGGTAGTTTGAATTACATTAAAAAATAAAACAGCACTAAAAATCATGTCACGTATTAAAGATTATTGGATATTTCATGATATAAGATAAATATTAACTACTTTTAAACTAATTAACAAACCGATATTAAGAATTAGACACTTAATAAAATGATGATTAAAATTTTCGATAATATTAAATTTGTCGATATTATTTCCGTCAATAATAGTAGTATTTTATGACATGAGAAATGTAAGAATAATAAGAAAATTATTAATTTTTGAACAATAAACAAACGTTAAATAATAATCTTATAATATTTAAAGGTAATATAATTTAACAATTATTACTAAAAAGAGAATTTAACAATGATTAGCTAGTTTATAATAAAGAAAGAAATAAGATCCATCGCTATTCAATACTACATAAAATAGTAAACAAAACAATATATTGCCAGTTTTTTAAATGTCTAATTTTAAATAAACTGATCTATTATTTCAACGCTAGATTACAAACAGCTTCTCATATTAAAATTTTTTTAATTATCAAAATGAAGAAATTTACAATAGAAAACATACAGGCAGGCTTACCGGTTTTATTTATTTGAAAAATGATGATACAATTTTTTACAGAGTAAAAAGATTTATTTAGAATATTTTCAATATCAAAATATTTTATTCGTTATTTAGATTATAAAGTATTATTGATTAAATTTTCTTTTTTTTCAAGGTCATTATATTTTATGATATATCAATTTTTCAATAAAAAAAGAAACTAATTAATATGATTATTAATAATATTTATCTGTTGAATTATATTAGTATTGCATGTAGTTAATTTAATTCTTATTGCAGTTATTGCATTTTAAAATATCGAACTTTAAATATGATGCTTGAATATTTGTTATCGAAAAATCATACGTATAAAAGCTTAAAATATACTTACCCCACGAGCATCTCTAAAAAGTATGGCAGCATGTACTGGATCTAAATATGCATCAGAAGCTCTGTGAGAAACTGATGGTGTACCAAGAGACAATCTTCTAGTAGTTGGATCCAGAGAACTTCTTCTTAATGCACCTGAAATGTTAAAGTTTTTCGATTTTATTTTGATAAACGTTAATGTTATTTAGTTGATTATTTTCAGATCTCTTACAATCAGTAGTAACTTTTAGTAAATGTATTCAATCAATATTGCATATCAAATAAATTGTAAGTATAAAAAATATCAATATAATCGTTTGTATTTGCAATGATTGTAGTTATATAAACATTCTTTTACATTCTCATAAAAATTCTCAACAATAGTTGTCACAAAGCCTAGATAACTAACGGCCGAAATACAAAAACTACACAATAATCACTGTATTTTTTCAAATCAACGGTTTGTCTATATAAATAATTTATTAACCAATTTGAAAAAATCTGAAAATGAAACAAAGAATTAATAAAAAACTAAGGAACGGAGTTCAGGACTGTAAATGCGGTCGAACTAGTTTATAATAGACACTGTTTCTGTACTAATATAAGAAATTATTCATTTCGCGTTAATGTTTATAGCAATTAAAACAATATGTATACATTCCTTTCGTTATTAGAAATTCGAATAGTAAAAAAAACTACTAACATATATTACACAAAAGATACAATAGATTTAAAATTAATCACACTTCCAAAAAAAGATGGAATAAAATACTTCTAACAATAATGTACTTATTAAAATAAATATAAGCAGTTATAACAAGTATTTGTTAAAATACGTTAATATAAGCTAGTAAAATACTGAAAGGTAATTGTATTTCAACTATGTATATAGCAATTATGTAACAAGTTTAAATAATAGAAGTACGAAAAGAAACGTTTATGTATTACAAATAGAAGATAAATATTTAAAGAAATTAGCATATTATTTAAATATTAAATTACTAAGTTTATACAATAATTACAAATTAAACATATATAAGGTTATTCAAAATTAATATAAATTATAATAACCAACACGAATTAAAAAGTATATACTTTTTATATTAACGACTGAATTATAAATATAAGTTTCATTATACATACACATCTTATAAATATTTCAAAAATAAACATAATTAATAATACATGTCGTATAAAAATCCTTAACTAATAATTCTGTAACTCAGATCAGCTTAGCAATTGTTAAGTACTGTATATAAGTAAATGCTTTTACCACAAATTTTAATTTATTAATTGGGGACGTAAGTTACCGGTTCTTTGTAAAAGTACTTATATTTTGTCTTTCAATTAAGAAAGAAAAATTTCAAACTACTACAAATATAAATAATATATAAAATTTATATTTGTAATACAATATTTATAATATAAAATTGATTAAGTTTAATAACTATTTAATTACCAATGACAACATATATAAACAAGTAATTAATGTTAATCAAAAAAATTAATTTTTTGATAATTTTTACTTTTTCCAATATTTAAAAAGTTCTTCAATGTTTACTTTTTCTTCAGAAAATAAGTTTTATACGATGTCATCCAACAAATGAATTTATGATTTATTTTAATAAAAACATTTTAATAGTTGATTATTCAATTACAACAATTACATAAAAAGATATTACAATATTTCGATGAATTTTATAATATAAAGATATATAATACATTAATAAATTTTTGTAGTTAACAAAATTATCCCAATAAATGATTGTAAGATTTTTATTCAGAATAATTAATATTTACATATTAATAGCAAGCATTTAAATTTTTAATTTATTTTAAAACTTAGCTAATTTTAATAATACAATTTATATCATTAAATATTTTAATTTTATAAAAGTCAAAGTGTATAATATCGTAAATTGTAATTCAATTTAATATCATATTTATCTCAAAATTGTAACATTATTTGGATTTTCGAATATTGTACATTTTATAACTATAGTTTAACGAGTATGTAACGAGTTATTTATATGCATAAATATTTTATTAGTAATCTAATAATGTAAATGCAAGGTTTTATAACGACTATAAAATAAATATTATAAAGTTAGAATCAAATGGTTGAATCTCATGATTTTAGCTATTTTTTTATTCTAGAAATCTAACGATTATTACTTCTAAAATATGTAATTAATTGTGGTTTTCTAGATAACTAATGTTTTGATACTGGACTATTTTATACATATATCAAAGGATATAATTGAAATATAAAAAAACTGTAAAGACACGTAGTCTATTATTATAACGATTTCGAATGATAATATATATAAATTATTTTAGAATATGATGTTATATTAAAAAAAAGCTGTCATTTACAAACGAAATAGAAATAAAAGTATTTTACGTATAATATATACGTATATACTTACATATATTTATCTATCTGACCCTACATTTTCAATGTCTTTGAAAAAATTGATGGATAATTAGTATAAAAATACAATTGTTAAGAGATAAATGTTCAACAAATCAACTAATTTTTATGGAAGTACCATTATATATCTGGCTGAAACTGATTAAAAATTATAATTGATTAATAGCAACGTATGATGGTTAAATCTAATAAACGGTTATAGAACGAGATAGAACCGTGACATAATAGTAAACTATAGAAATCATTAAAATTTTAGAATAGAAAGCTATTAAATATGTTTAAGAACTATAATTCTATTTGAACAATGAAAACAAATAAATATGTTAAAATGGTATATTGAAGAATACTCACTGATGGAATTAATTTATGATATAATGAATATTCTGTCTAGTCATAAAGTTTAGCGTAGTAAGAATAAATTACTTGCAATTTTAAACGATTCCAAAATTTTAAACTGTATGTTTAAATTTTTATAAAAGATTTAAGCAAATATTTGTATTTCAGTTTTTGTTCACAATAAAAGAAAAATATTCTCAATTACTTTTACAAAAGATACCCTTATTTGCCATAGATAAATATTTCACGGTTCATTCTTTCTATTACAAGAAATATGTAAATAAATAATTAAAAGTGTCAATTACAAAAAAATAGTTTTCTTACGATAATAATTTCTTATTTAAAAAAGAATATTAAAATTATACTTTAGTTAGCTATATTGAAAATATAATAAAATTAAATACAAAATATAAAAGAACAGAATTTTATATTTTTTATACGGTAATACATACAAAAATTATATTTTTAAGATATGTAAGTATTAAAAATTAAAAAAAAGTTTCTTTAAGAAGCTTTAATGAACTTAACCTTTTCTTTTTAAAAAAAAAGGTATAAAGTTGTAGTTGATATAATCATATATCTTTATACTAAATTGTCTTTTCTTTATTATTTATTTCTTAAACTGAAGTTTAAAATTCTTATCTAGACTTCCTATGTAAGAAAACAGTAAGATGTGAATAAAATATTTTTGTATTGACTAATGTTAAAGATAGATAATAAATAGTCTTGTTCAAAGTTAACAAATGTAATTAATAAAGAAATGAATTCAAATTTATATAAACAAGAGTGTCGAAATTGAACAGGCTTATTATTTAGCTTATTAATTAATTCATGAATATTCTAAATAATAAAAAAGTTTTAAAGAAAATTTGAATTACCTCCATAATTATCAAAATTTATACAATTTAGTATCGTAGGTTTATTAATAATATATTAATGTTAAATCAATCTGAAACATTTGTTTGTATATAAATTACAATTAACAATTTTTTAAATATAAAAGTACTCATATTATTCTTAATTATTTATTTGGTTAAAAATGAAAGTTGATAGTTAAATTGTGCATTGAGTTTAATTAAAATAAATTCTGTATATTAAATACTATAATAGAAACTAATGTGGATTACTTCCAAAAATATGTTTTTCATTAATATTTTGATATGATTTTATATAAAATTTGATCATTAAAATAATTAAAATCAAACAGAATTAAGATATTACATCGATCGAAGATATTATAAAGTAAAATATAAATATTTACATATAAAAAAATTAATAAAAATTAGTTGTGAATATCACTATTTTATACATTTTGTTGATATATCACTGCTTATTTTTAAATTAAATATATAAAATAATTTATAATAAAATAACTGATATTTTTTACTTAAAAATTGTATATTTGTTAAAAAAAATTTATCCATTAAATGAGATGCAAATACACAAATTATAATTATTTCATAGATTATACTTTTAAAATCTGTTTAGAATAATAAAAAAAGAACTTATTATTTAATGATTCAATTAATTAAATGAATAAAACGTAGAACATTCATAATTTAGTACATATTTGATATATCTAAACAATGTGTTAAAATACTGCTGATTATAAATTTAATTTATAATATAATATGGATCAATAAAATGAAATCAAATTATTTTTATAACTCAAACACAATATATTTAATTTTATTCGCAAAAAAACATTTACATTTCTAGGTTTTATAAAAATTTTATTTATTCAGTTTTGTTTAATTAAATAATTTTCAATTTTATAAGTGAATAATGAATTTAATGAATAATATATCAATACAAATTCTGGTATTTTTCTTGAATGTAATAATACCTTGGTGGAGGATGCTTTCATAGATGCGATATGTAGTTTCACAATCAGAGTCAAATGAAATTTCTATATCATGTTTAGGTATACATTGACTATCAAGACTTTGGCTACGATTACGAAATTCTTGGATAATTTTACAAGGATTTTCTTCACATTCACTTTGATGATGAATGTGTCCAAGTTTTTTACCAAATTGTCGTATCATTATAAGTTTTCTTTTTATTACTGTGATAAAAAAACATACTATAAAAATAATTTGACAAGTTACAAAATTAACTTGACATGGAAAATAAACCTCTTACATTGTTAAAAATATGTGTATTAGTTCAATTTTATAATTCTTAATATTTTAAACAAAAATTGTTAAATTTTAAGAATTATATACTTTATAATCATAGTGTTTATGTTATTTCAAGATTTATTTTTCACAAATTAAAATATGTAATACCCATAGATGAATCATAATTTGACATGTCTATTTTTTAATGCTTTAATTACATTGGATTCATGTTTTAAAATTAACAAATTATTTAATTTTGTCTTAAAATATCCATTTAAAGAACCACAATATACTTTTATGAAAGTATTAAGTGTAGGATAAGTATTTTGCTGAACAAATGAATGAATACATATGTTTATCAGTGTCCTTGCGTATGTGTTTTTTCCGCATGCGCAGTAAGTTTAAGCTTATTTGTCATAAAAAATGTGCGCAATATGAATATTGATTAAATTCACATGAGTACAGAATGAATTAATAAGTAAATCATTCTAAGAGAGTAAAGTGATTATTTGTTTAATCAAATATACTAATGCATATATGCTATAGACAGTAATAATTTTATATAAGGATTTCGATTTTTTTAAAAAATAATACTTATTTAAAGTATATTTATATATATATATATATATATATACATAAATTTATATATATATATATATATATACATAAATTTATATATATATACCTTTCATAAATATAATAAAAATCTCAAACATACTGATGTAAGAAAAAAGCATATTGTATTAATCAATTATTAGAATTTTAATATTGTTTAATTTAAAAATAGAATTTTATACAATTGTTATTTCTAAAGTTTTAGTCAAAACAATAAAAAAATATAATAAAATAGTCATAAAATTAAAAATTATTTATAATTACTTTAAAAAATAGATACGTCAATCATTAAAAAAACTTAGCAGCTCAGTTATCTAATGAATCATAATGATTATATTTTATATTAAAAACACTTAAATTAAATTTCTTTCATATTCAGTGATTAAATAATTATGTTATAAACCACAGATACTATACTAACTGAAATATAAGATTATGTACCAAAATTATCATGAGTTTGGTCATATGATATACTTGTTATTCAATTTTAAACTGAAACAATATTACATATTTAAAAAGGAACGCATTAATTTTAAGAATACATATTGAATAATCAATAACAACATAGCAATAAAAATAAAATAATCCTTTACGGAATATTATTTTCTTTTAATACATTTATATATATAAATAATTATAAATAATATAAACTTAATATCTAATAGTAATGAATTAATTATATTACATACAAAATCTTACAAAGAACAAAAACGAAATTTCAAATTGAATCAGACTATTAACAAAATATTGTATATCTATATAAAAATAATAAAGATTTGTTTGGTATGCATTATTTAAACGTATTATACATTTTCTTATCTTTACTAAATCTCAAAGTTAAACACTCACATGCGTCTTTCGCTTAGGTATACGTTATAAATACTCCTATTCTAAGTAAAACTATGTGTACATCAACATTTATGTGATTTACCATTTGTTACTTTTTAATAAATGTAATATTAAACCGGAATATTGCATAATTAATTAAATAGTAAATAGCAGTTTGTTACAAATTTTACAAAAATGCATTAATTTGATTTATTGACTTACCATATCATGAGTCTATTTCCAATGACAAAAATATTGAAAAGAGTAAATTAGAAAAAATTGGTATATTAATAATATATTAAAGAAACGTAACAAACATTTTTCCTTTTTAATTTAGAAAAATAATCAAAATCTTTGCATTGAACTATGTGAAGTAAGCATAATTAAAATTTTTTCATAGCATTTCATGTAATAAGATTTAACTCTTGGAAGTAAATAAGTTTTAAATTAAATCATCTCAACTCATAAATATAAAATTAAGAAACCTAATAAAAATTTGATCATATAAACAAATTATAAAATTCATGTTAAATAAATAATCACATATAGCAATAACATTTTTAATTATAATTCATTTTTTAAGATTAAATAAATGTTTATTTTCTGGAAATAATAAGAGTAGTTTTAAACAGACAGAAAATTAATTAACATTTAAAATATTAATTTTTAAAAATACTAAAATACTAAAAAAAGTTTTTAATCTATAAAATATTTTACTAACTGTATTTAACAAACAAAGTTAAATAACTATTTTGAAGAATTAAAAATTTATAGTAATCGCATGTTAATTGATTATATTGCTCAACTATTTAGGAAAATGGTAGATATTTAAAAAAGGTTCATGAAATCTTATCTCTCTGAAAAAAAAGTACTTTCAAGTTTACTATAATTACATGTATAATATACATGGAATAGTGTCAATATAAAAATTTGAGACTTTACTAATTATCGGTATTATAGTTAACTATAAATTAAAGAAAAAATAATTTTGCATATTTAAAATATATTTCTAAATAAATATCTAAAAAACATAAATTTTTAAAATATGAAAAAATAAAAAGAAATTCAATGTTTTACTAATAATGAATAAGGAATACTGTTATTTTTTTTATATAAGATTGTCTGGTTATTTGTATAAAATGATTAGAAGAAATGCTAATGTACTACATATAAGAATTGTTTTCTTTTACACATTTTTTAGTAGAGTTTTATTATAAAGAGAAATTTAAATTATATACATGGATATAATTTTTAATTAAAATGAAAATCTTACTAAAAAAAATTTACTCACTCTGTGCTGCCTGTTGTAAATGATGTTGAGCTACAGCTTTCTGAAACAAAATTATTCAATTCAATACAAATAATTCAATTATATTTTAACTCTGAATGTGTTAAAAATTATTCTAAATCTGATTTATAAAATTATTTAAAATTAGATAAATTGTAAGTATACTATTTAAACATAGTATATATCACTATTTCATATTTAGTATGTCATACTAAATATTTTTACATTAATTATCTTTATAAATAATTTATACTTATGATCTAGTTATACATATATGTATAATAAGAAAAATTATAAAAAATATGAATTTATATTAAAAGGATCTTCTAATAAATATAGCTTGTTTCTAAGGAAAACTTGTATCACAAAAGACTAATTTAGCATACACAAGAAAATCTGTTTGAAATAATATTTAATGTAGGTGTTACATATGCACTAGTTTTCTGTAAATAATGTAAATTAAATACAATCTTAATTGAAATAAAAATATCAAATAGTATTGAGAAATTAAAAAAATAAAACTTACAGCTTTCCTTTTATCTTCTGCACTAATTGCACTATGACTTCGATGTCTAATAAGGTCTATAACTTTACTAACAGGATTTCGAATGCTCTCAGAACCAGCCCGTGGTCTACTTTGTTCCTTATTATCTTTATAATCCTTGTCTATGTTAACTTCAAGAGAAGAACTTCCTTGTGAATTTCTGTGCAAAGAATACTAAAAAGCAAACCATTTTGTTAGGTATTTGATCTATAAAATAAACATAAATAAATATATTGTGTAAATATAATCTGTTATGCATATATACACATGTGCATATATGCAGAAATGTTTATGTACATAATATAAAAAAAAGAAAAAATTAATATTTTCCATTACTGACATTATAATAAACATAAAATATTAGTTAAATCTATATATAAGTAAATAAAATAATTCTATAATAAAGTCACATTTCAAAAGTGTATAAAACTATTGTTCAAGTAGTAAATTTTGTCCATAAAACACATGAAATTATATATTTATTAAATAAATATAATTAATTAAAAATGCATGGCGAATTTTAAATACCTAGAATTTAATTAATTTATAGGCTTGTAATATAAAATTATTATATTTATAAAACAAAGTTATTTTTTATAGAAAGCTTTATAAAATTAACAACACGTTTTAACTTATTTAATAAATTTTATTATTTATTAATAATTAAACATTTTAATATTTATACATTATTAAACAAAATCTATAAAAAAAATAAAAAATTAATATAATGCAGTAAATTTAAATAACCGATTTACAATTTCATTAAATGGGTAAGAAATAAAATATGTGTTAATATGATTATATAACTTTCTAAGTCAATATTTTTATTAATACATTTTCAGATCTCCAAACAATTATGGATTATAGCCGAATGAATTAAAATTATCAATGTAAAATAAGAATATTTTATATATTGAACTTACTTGTTTTAAACTAAAAGATTAAATTAATGCAGATTCATAATTTTATAGACTTGATGACAAGATTTATTATTAAACGATTATATAAAGATTAATCAACGATTCTATCTTAATATTTTTTTTATTATATAAATTGATTATTATGGGCATATAATTACCTCTAATTTCAATATTATATATATATTTTTCATGAATATATATATATATATATATTTATATTTTTATATTTATATATAAAAAATATATATATATATATTTTTTTTTTGTAATACAGATAATAAGTAATACGAAAATTTGTATTTTATTTCCTTAAAAAATAAAATAAAATTTATTTATTTATTATTATATATAATTGTGCAGTGCTTAATTGAAATTAATATTAACCAAATATTATATAAATAGGAGTCAGTTTTTATTGAAATATCGAAAAATAAAGATATAAAAAAACAATCAATTTTAACTCAAATAAAAATATTTTCTTTTTCTTTTTACATACTTGCTAGTAATCATTGTATTTATAGTCTGTACTAGGATAAAAAAAATAGTTATTTAAAATGTTTAAAAATAAAATACTTATAATATTTTGAAATAAAAAATTGAATTTAATGAATTTTAATTCATTATTAAAAAATTGTTTTTTCTAATCGATTTTCAATAGTAAAGTGCAAAGTAATTTTTGTTAACGATAATAAATATGACTAATAACATAACTAAATATATATAAGAAAGTAAAACGAGTATAATTTATGAATACATTAACCATATAATTTGTGTAAAATACGCACTAATATTGTCTTATGAAATATTGATAACAGATAATCAAGCCTAAATTTATAAAAACTATGACATTT